AAATAACAAAATAAGCCCAAAGCAAGCATAATGAAGAAAATGAAATAACAGAACTAGAAACAGAAATTAATAGGGTAGAGAATAAAGAATAGATCTAAATATAATAAATCATTTCTGATTTATTTTTTGAAAAAAATTTAACAAAATAGGCAAACCACTTGCTGACAATCAAGGGAAAAAAGGGGAAAGCACAAATGAACAAAACAAAACAAAAATGATATGAAGGAAATAACCATTGAAAAAACCATTGAAATAACCGTTAGAAAAAAAAAAACATACAATTCTATTTTTCAGGTATCACTACAAATAAATTTGAAGACCCAGGTGAACTGGGTAATTTATCAGGCAAAGAGCTTACTAAAACTGACTACTTAAAGATAAAATCTGAACGAGATCATTCTCCTAAGAAAAAATGAAGAAAATAATAGGACCTATTCAACCAAAAAAAGCATCAGGTCTGGATGGTTTTTCACAGAGTGAAACCTTCAAATACCAGCTTGTTCAAAAACTCTCTTACATTTTTCCAGAGCAGTGAAATGAAGGAAAACTTCTGAAATCTTTGCACTTATATACGTAACATCAATACCTAAACCTTATAAGGATAACGCAAAATAAATTATACACTAATTTTTGCTTATCAATACTTATATAAAAATACTAAATAGATTATTAGGAAACAGAATCCAATGCCACATTAATAAAATGACACAACAAAGGGATATTCATTCCAGGAACGTAAAGTTGGTTCAATGTTAGGGAATCCATTAATATAATCCACCACACAAATAGATTTCAGAAGAAAAACATATAATCATCTCCACAGATGCTAAAGAAGCTTTCTATCACAATCCGATTCTTTCCTAATGAAAAACACTCAAGAAAATAGAAATCAAGGAATACTTCCTGTTATGTATCCCCCCAAAATTAATTTGTTGAAACCCCTTCCACTCCACGTGAACATATTTAGACATAGGGCCTTAATGGAAGTAATTCAGGTTAAATTAAGTCATAAGGATAAACTCCTAATCCAAGAAGATTAGTGTCCTTGTAAGAATAGACCAGAGAACTCACTCCTTCTCTCTCTCTGCTATGTGTGGACATAGAAATAAAGTAGCTGTCTGTAAAGCCAGGAAGAGAATTCTCAGCAGCAACTGAATCTGACACCCTGATTTCAGACTTCCAGACTCTAAGCTGTGAGAAAATAAGTTTTTGTTGTTTAAGCTATCCAGTATATGGTATTGCAGCCTGAGCTAACATCTCCATTAAGATCAGGAACAAGAAAAAGATGCCTACCATCTACACTACGGATTAACATAGCAATGACTTGTAATATTAGCCAATGCAATTAGATAAATCAATCACAGGCACAAGAATTGGAAAAGTAAAACTATCTCTACTTGCAGATGTGACTGTGTACCTAGAAATTCCTAGAAAGTGAATGACAAAACTGAATAAAAAAACCCCAGTAAAATAGGATATAAAATCATCATATAGAAATCAATAGTCTTCATAAAATTAGTAACCAGTAAGAGGATACAATGGCAAAACAAACAAAACCAAAACATTTCCACTTACAATAGCAACAGGGAAGATATTTAGGAATAATTTCAACAAAAAAAATGTGTAAAATCTACATGACAAAGTTCAAAACACCCTTGAAAACAACAAAATTAGATTTGAATAGAAAAAAAGCAGCTCTTGTTCTTGAATAGGATGACTCAACATAACAAAGACAAATCATGAACAATCACAATAAAAAATACCAACAAACATTTTTATGAAGTTGGACAGGTTAACTAAACTTCATATGGATCAATAAACAGGCAAGAATAGCCAAGAAAACACTAAAAATGAACATCCTTAAAGAGAGACTAGGTATTAAAACACATTATATAGCCTCTATCATTAAAACTGACATTTTGGTTATGTGAATATTGACCAGTGGAACACAACAGAAAACCCAGAAATAAACCCAATTATGTAGAGAACTTGAGTATATGATAAAGTCAGTATCTCAAATCTTTGAGGCAAAGACAAACCTTTAAATGCATAGTGTTAGGACAAGTAACTAGTCATCTGGAAAAGATACAATTAGATCTACACTTTGTATCATACAAAAGAATATCCCCAAATGGACCAGGAATCTAAATATAAAATAAATGAAGCCACATACATGTACTAGAAGAAAACATGGGTAAATTTATATTTAACTGGGATGTAAGGAGAGGCTTTCCAATTAGAATTCAGAATCCATATGCAAACGAGTAATAAATTTGCTACATTGAAAAAAACCTGCATACCAACAAAACCATTCAAACAAGTTCCATAGGGGCACCTGGGTGGTTGAGCGTCTGCCTTTGGCTCAGGTCATGATCCCGAGTCCTGGGGTTTGGGATGGAGCCCTGCTCAGTGGGGAGTCTGCTCCTCCCTCTGCCCCTCACCCTGCTCGTGCTCCCTCCCTCTCTCTCTCACTCTCTAATAAATAAAATCTTAAAAAAAAAAGTTCCATAAACAAAGTCAAACAAGAAGAAATTGTCTGCAGTATGTATCACATAGAGGCTACTATCACTAAAAGATAGTAACAGAATTCCTAGGACCAGAGAAAAACAAAGACCAAAAAAACCTGATAGAAAAATTAGCAAATGACACAAAAAGTTGTTTAAAAAAAATGAACCTTTGACATACAAAAAAAATATGTTTAACATCACTCATACTAAGAGAAATGCAAATTACAAGTATACTGAGATACCATTTCTCACCTATCAATTGGCAAAACTTAAAAAGCATGATGATGCACACCCTGGCAAGGCTGTGGGGCAACAGGCATTTTTATGCATTGCTGAATGGAAATGCAAGTTGGCACAACCCTTGTAGAGGGGAATCTGGTAATATCTAACAAAGCTTTATATACATTTATCTTTTGAACCAACAGTCGCATTTCAGGAATTTGTTCTGAAGATACACCTCCAAGAATACAAAAATACATCTGCATAAAGTTATTTGTTGCAGCACCGTTTGTAACTGCACAATACTGGAAGTACCTGTACACAAAAGAGTGGTTAAATAAACTGCAGTACCTCCATTCTGTGGAGTTCTCTGCAGCTGTAAAAAGAATTAAGGGCCATGTCTATGCACGGTTGTTGGAATGATTTCCTTGTTAGGTAAGGGAAAAGCAAAGTAGAAAAGAATATCAATAGTATATTAGATTTGAACTTCGGAAAGTCTCTAACAAATCAGATCTTAAAAAAAAAATAATTATAGGGGCGCCTGGGTGGCTCAGTCAGTTAAGCATCTGCCTTTGCCTCAGGTCATGATCTCAGGGTCCTGGGTTCGAGCCCCGCATCGGGCTCCTTGCTCAGCAGGGAGCCTGCTTCTCCCTCTCCCTCTGCCTGCCTCTCTACCTACTTGTGATCTCTCTCTGACAAATAAATAAATTTTTTAAAGAAAAATAATAACATTAACACACCAAAAACAATCATTCTTGCTACCACTGAATGCCTGATTCCTCTTAAAATTTCTCTGGATTATCTTAACATGTCTTCCTGCAGCTTGAATCAAGATCAAAACAAGGTCCACACATTATTTTTGGAAGACATAACTCCTAAAAGTATGACAATTCCCTCTACTTCTCTCCTTTTTTAAAAAAATGCTATTGACAGATGGTCTTTATGGTTGATAAAACGTGTTTCTCTAGCTCCTTTATTTCCTGTAAACTGCTAAGGGCTTGATGGGACTGTGGCTCACCTTTTTTCACTGCTGTTACAAGACTGCTTAGGTGGTACTGTTTACTCGCTACTGCATCACCCGTTTAATACAGTTGCCCTCTATTAGTGTTATAGTGGTTTCTAGATCCTTAGGCAATCTCAGTTCCTAAAAGCTTATCCGAGACCACACATTCATGGCAATATACACATGGTGATCAAGCTACCAGGTTAATTAAGAGTTGACTGAGAGACAACAGAGGTTATCAATCGGCAGTAAGAGAAGTTGGCCATGAATTGTTTCTCTCATAGGTAAGAGGCCAAAACATAGAGACGAGATGAAGGATTTGACTTGATATGGAGAGGAGGCCACCAGAGGATGAACATCATGCTTACAGAAAAGATACTGGGTTCTGCTTACAGTTCTAAAAGATATTTTATACACTAGTACCAATAAATGTTTCCAAATTAACTCATGGAGAATTCAAGATTTACTGTATGATGTTAGTTCACCCGAACAGTCTTAGACTTTTTCCACCTTTAAGCCTAAGGGACTGATCTCTAAGCCAAAGATTCTCAACATGACTACAAAGCAGATTCTCCTGGGAAGCCTTTAAATTCCAGAGGCGTGGGTCCCACCCAATCAATTCGGATTCAACTGGTCTAGGATGGGGATACAGTATTATTTAGTATATAGTATTATTTAAAGTCTTTCCAGGTGACTCTAATATGCAGCCATAACTGAGAACCACTAATCTTAGCTAAGAATAACAACAATAACAGCTAGTATTGGTAAGCACATATTATGTGTTATGGATTGTTCTAAGCACTTTACATGTTACTAATTCATTCCCTATCTTACAAGTGAAAAAACAGGTCGGGTAACTTGCCCAAAATCACACATAAGCTAAGAGCGGAGTGAGGATTTGATACCAGGCACTTTGGATCCAAAATCTATGATTTTAATCACCATGATATACTGCCTCCTAAGCATGAATTATATTCTTTAATTCAAATAAAATGATTAGAAAAAAACAAAAAAATGAGATACTTCACATCCTCCTTCTTAGAAGCAGTAGAGTGGCCTCTTGTTGCAAAAGTACCAGCAAGCTTATTTGGACAGATAAGAATCTTCTCTTCCCAAAAGATTCAAATTTGAGATTTCCACACATAATCCACAAAATAATTTCCTACCTATCATCCTATATAGCCTAGTTATTTAATGTATCAAAAATTGTTTTAGTTTTAAAACTCAGGGCAGTGATGTGTTACATGTACATTTACAAGAAAATTTCCTACCTATTTCAGTTCTGCTAACTCCAATGCCATTATAAATCCTCAAGTAATTAAAGTGACAAGAGTCAGAATCTTCAATGTCAAAGTCACCAAATTTGATGCGCACTCTCTCCCCCATCTTTACACGGATCTCCCATTCGCAAACGGTGCTGTTGGGATAGGTCTGTGGGTAGTTTATGGACGTGAGGGTTCCACTTTCAGGGCCTAGTACAGTATGTCCACATCCATCACCTTAAAAAAAAAAAAGTTAAAAGAACGATAAATTATTATTACATCTTTAACATTATAAATAATCAGGATTTTTTTGGTGAAAATTTTAAAATACGTATGACAGATGTTTTATACCACCAACACTTTCCTTACACAAGATAAAAGGGAAGGCAGAGTTCTTAGTATATCTGCTCATAGGAACCAAAAGAAGCCAGGTATGGTCAAAATAATCAATGATTGCCCTTATGAGTTCAAAGAGCTTTCCACCTCAATAAACAGAGGTAAACATAGTTTAGCAATAAATTTATATACATAGCATAATAAATCCAATCTTTAAAAGACTGTCAGTTCATAGTAATTGTTCAAAGTAAATGTAAACTATAAAAATAAAAGTATGCGATCAGCTTCATTCATTTATCACAAACCCTTCTAAAATCTGTGAGAAGTAGGAGGGTATCTAAAAACACTTTACACGTTGCAGAGATTACTGACCATATTACAGTATTTCAAGGCATTCACTCTTGAAGGCATTAAAGCCCTATTTAATGAAATTTAATTTTACTAATTTTACATTCTATTGAAATTTGACTTTTTAGTAGTCCTTCTCCAAAAACCTCACTTTTTCCCTATAGAATGACAACGAAAAAAAATAACAGTTTAATGACTTAGTAAAGATTAGGAAAAATAACTTTCATATCTTGGTAGCAGCATTATCTGTTCCAGAATTCCTTCACTGTGGGAACTCAGAGAACTTAACATAGTATTGTTTGCATCCTCCTTTTATCATAAAATCTGGTGTTTGAGCACCTAAAAGAGGCATGCAATGTTGAGAAGTTTCAGCTGCTGCTCCAACTGTACCATGTAACATTCCTTAATGATGGGATTCAAATGAGTCTCTTTCTAAAAGGAAGACAACACTGTACTAAAATGATAGTATTTTTTTCCTTCAAAATAGCCATTTATAATCACCTCTGGAATAGTTGAGTACTTACACAAAAAAACTCTATCAAAAGTGACAGTGCTGAGTTTTGAAGTCAATATGGATACAGACAGCTGTAAAAGGATTTTCTATTATATTACTAAGAACAGTGCAGTGCTGATACCATTTACTAGAACAGATGAATGAAACCTTTAAAAGCCTGTGAATAAGAAGTTAATAATCTAGGGGCACCTGGGTGGCTCAGTTGTTAAGCGTCTGCCTTCGGCTCAGGTCAGGATCCCAGGGTCTTGGGATCGAGCCCCGCATCCGGCTCTTTGCTCTGCGGGAAGCCTGCTTCTCCCTCTCCCACTCCCCCTGCTTGTGTTCCCTCTCTCGCTGTGTCTCTCTCTGTCAAATAAATAAAATCTTTAAAAAAAAAAAAAGTTAATCTAGAAAGTATTTGCAAAATAGTTACTAATTCCATGTGTAAGGAACTGTACATGAACCAACGAAAAAATAATTTCAAACCAGTCTCAAAACTCACTGTAATAAAGGAAAAACTATTTACCTACATTATGATGACAATACTTCATATCCTTTTCTGATCAAGAAATTTTATTCTCAAATCCCTACTAGTATTGTTGGCCCACTTTTAAAGGTCAATACTAGCAATCTAGCTTCCTAAACAAACATCTATAAAGTTCAGCTTTTGAGCAACATTGCTATCTCTACACCTGCTTTCATTCTACACATAGAAACTAGGCATAGTCACTCAATAATATATAAAGGCACCATGAAATAAACATGTGAGTTTTTGTGATACACCCACTGATCTTCTGCAAATATAAAACTTAAGTGTTATACAACTCAGAAGAAAAAAAAACACTCAAATTTTCCCTGAAACTATGATGAAAATACCTTGAATATCTCTACTGAATATCATCTAAATTAGAAACACAGGGATATAAAAACTTTCACTGTGAACACAAATGAATTGTAATAAAAATAACTTTTGAATAATCATTAAAATTTTTCCTTAGAGAAAAATACTATCCCCTAACACAAAATATCTAACATTATGAAACTAGTCTGAAATGTTCTCTTACTATTAAAAAGATGAAAATGTGCTTTCTGGAATGTTTAAATCTTTGAAAAGTAGCCACTGAATAAATAAAATAACTCAAAATATAAATGTATTTTCTTTAGTGAATAGAAACTAAAGCAGCTTTTTTAAGTGGCTGAAGTGCTGATAGATTTCAGGAAGCCAAGAATTTCCTATTAACAGCTGAATTCATGACTTAGTAATGGCAGACTGTCCCATCTAATATATTCCCTATGGGCCACTATTTAACTTAACGTTGCCATTTTAAAATGAATTTTACAAAAAGAGTACAAGCAGTGTTAGGAGTAATTTTTAGACATCTTTATGCTCATATTTGACTGTCAATAAATACACAAATGTTTCTTGCCCTTTCCTCCATAAAGCATAATTTCTACAAGTTAACAAAATAAATACTAACTGATGAAAAACGGGACTTTTGCATGCATGCTGATGAAGAAAACAATTAAAATGGAGCTGTCTTTTTTCAGTATCTTGTGTAGGGGGAGGGCATGAACAGTCCACAAGTAACGTGCCAAGAATGTTCTAAAATATGTGATGGAGCTCCGAGCTTCCTCCCCCTAGCAAAAAAGATGGTATGCACCAGAAACCAGAGTTAAAAGAAAGTCTCCGATCTACCACTACAATGAACAAGTTTGAATGTTTCATACTTCCAAGACTATTTGATAAGTTTAACCTGACAAGATAAATAGATTAGCTGGCCTGGATAAACACCTACTGCTATAAGAATATGTTTAGAATATTACAGTTTGAAAGGGGAGGCTGGGCTTATACATTATCACTAGGCCAGCAGTTTTCAAATGTTTTTCTCAGTTATTCCAAAGTAAGAAATACATTTTACACTGTGATCCTATACACTGCTGCATGTATAATCCCGACCCACTAAAGGGTCCCCACCAGCACTCTGGAAAACACTGTACTAGGCATCCAGAAGTCATAATGTTGAACTCTCAAAGAAGACCTTGTCCTCACTTTTACCCTTAAATTAGAAAATGTGTTTCCAGTTTTTCAGTTCTTAAAAGCAAATCCTATTCTATACCAATGCTTAAGATGACAAAGTATCTAAAAGTAAAACTAAAATCTGGAGAAAATTCTTTATCAGCTAATCACCTAATACACTTAGACAGTGGTACTCAAATGTGGGAGACGCGGAAGCTCCCATGGGAGCAATTTTACCTCCCATTTGGCAATGTCTAGAGATAGGTTTGGTTGGTTGTCACAATTGAGGGGGTGGGCTACTACTGGCATCTGGTGGATGGAAGCCAGGAATGCTGCTAAACATCCTACATTGTGCACAGGACAGCACCCCCAGAATAAAGAATGATCGATCTTAAACGTCAGTAGTACTGAGGTTGAGAAGGCTGACCTACAGTAAAGGCCAGGACATCTCAGACAGAAGATCTGAGTGAGTTCTTGGCCGGGTTTCCTTTGGCCCAAAGAATAATGCTGTTCTGTCCACTGAGGGTACAGCCTAAGGAATACTTTCCTCCCACGGTCAGCAGTTATACTAAAGAGCTTGAGTCCCACTTCCCAATTTTTAAAACAAGTAAATGGAAGTTAAAGGAAAGAAAATGTCCTTTTTATTAGTCTACAGGCCTGGAGTAATTTTTTTTTCTGGGTCAACAGCTCTTAAAATAGGGTTTGAAAAAGGGTGCTAATAAGGTCAGGAGTTAAGTCTCCAAATTTTCTGCTTATCTTTGTATGCTTTGGAAAAAATAATGACCTGTGACCAGGCAACAGCACCTACCGTTATTCATTTTCACAAGGCAGAATTGACAAAGACAGCATAACTATGACAGGAAATATAACTTTCACAATGGTTATCCTAGGACCAATCCATGTGCCCTCACCAGGAACTCCAACATCACCAAATCTTTCTCCTTCTCCAACACCATCAACACCATAATCACTGTCAGCTTCTCCTCCTCCTCCTCTAGACGGTCTCCACCAAAGTATAACTGACCATACAGGACAGAAGCCTGTATGTAATGTAATTTTTGAATTTCAGTTTTATTTCAGTGGCGAAGAAACACTGGAATTTGATCTTACTGCTCCTTTGTTTGGCTGCTGATTTATCTAGGGGATTACTCATAGAACACGTGTTCACTTCCTCTGAAGAGGCTAAGGTCAGATGTGTTAAGCCAGATACAAATTTTGGTATTTTTCCAGGAAAATAACAATATTTTTTAAACTACTTAACCCTAAAGAAAACAGAACATTAAACATTTAAATAACAATGAATTAATACAACAAAGAACACATTCTTATTTTAGGCTGCTCTAAACTTCAATTGTTTTTTTTTTACATACATGCTCATGATATTGATTACATGTGACCCTGCAGCCACCCCCATATTTTAGTCACATTACTAATACGTAATATAAATTATCTTAATGATTGAATTGTATTACTATAAACACTTCATGACTTCTAAAAATACTTTAACAATACCAAACACGAATGCACAAATATGCCATAAATGTAGAGCAATGTGACTTTCATTACAATCATAAACTCTGAACAGTTTATATTTTTCCAGTGAGCTTTCAAGGATTTTTTTTTATCACTGTCAATAGGTGAGTCTGACTATACTTCCTCTAAATAAGTGTCATTTCTGTCACATCTTATAATGCATCTGTGAGATCTTATAATAAATCAATTGAAAAAAAAGTATTTTAGAGTAGAAGGGCACTCAAAGGAATAACTTGCAAGACAACTAATACAGCCTATTTCATCTGGCTACAATGAAGATTTTTAATGCCATATTTAGCACTGTGAATTTTTGGACTGAAGTACCATTATCAGTCTTATAAGATTTTTAAAGTTGCATCACTACAAATCTCAAATAAATAATTCAAAGACTACTTTAATTTCACTCATTTTTTAATTTAAATACTACATAAGATGGATATGCTCTGAAAGAGCCTAAAGAAGGGCACTGTGGCAATTTTTAGAAAAAGAAATAGCTCCCAGCTTCATTCT